AAAAAAAAAAAAGGCAGAAGAAAGCAGAAGGACGGAAACGGAGTGATGGAAAGGTTTTGTCTGGTAGTGTGGTGAAAATGGGCAGGAAGAGAGACTGGAGGGTAGGGGACACTCAGAGTTGGCCGCAGTAATCTGCTCACAGGTACCAAGGGACTTGGCTGGAGCATGTGAAGAAATGGCTTCCAAGCCCAGCTGCTACACCTGCCCCATGTGACCTTATGCAAACCTGGAGAGGCTATTTGCCCCCTGTATTCCTCATTCCTTCTGCTCTAAAACAAGGATGGTAACAGTGCCCACCTCGCAGGGCTGCGGTCAAGATTCAAGGAAGCAACATGTGGCAGTTGGAATGGCACTCGCTGCAAACACTCAAATGGCAGCTGTGTTGTTCTATTATTGTTAGAAGAAATGAGGAGGAAGTTACGTACCTTTGATTAAAAGTAGTGCCAATAGATAAGATATAAAGGATTCAAGAAAATACCCAGGAAGATATTTTAACATTCACATCGAAGCAAGGAAGGTCTGAGTTGGGTCAATTTTACATCTTACACAATCTCTTGACTCTATCTACTTTTCTTCTCCGCTGCCAGCCCCTTAGACCCAACTCACACCTCTTCTCCCTCGGCTCCTGTGATGGCCTCCTTGCTTCCATTCTTACCCTACCACAAAGCACTCGCCACATGGAGCCAGAGAGATATTTTAAAGTGCAAATCTAAAAATGTCCTTCCCTCGCGTAAAACGCTCCAACGTCCTTGCGTCGTTCACAGAGGGCGGCTATGCTCACCACTATACGACCCACGCTGGCCTTACACCGCCCACAGGACACTCCAGGGAAAAACACAATTTCTCTCTACTCACACCGCTTCTGACACTATCTGGAGTTAGGACAGACCCCACAGGTTAAGGGCTCCGTGCCACAAGACTTCCTCTCCCCGGTTTCAGGTGGCAGTCGCAAATCTAGGCCTCCCACACTTTTGACCAACTGGCTAGAAATCAGGAGTGCCCACAACACCCTCCTCA